GCGCTGCCACCACCCGGCCAACTCGTGTCGCCTCGCGTCAGCGTTTCCAACATATGGGCAATTCCCCAAATTGCAGGGAATTTAAAGTTGGTTGGGGATTTTATGGGGATTGGTATTATGCGGGGGAAATGCGGGGATTTTGAATTTTCGTGAATATGGCAACATGTTAATGTGCCTTGGAGGAGATTGCGGGAATGCTTCGCGTACATTACGAATTTACCGAGAGAAATTCCCGACTCAGCTGACTCTCGTCTGATAACAGCAGCATTTCAGTAAGTGTTGGAAAATCGGCCCATTGCTCCGGTAGCGGCAGGAGGTTTTTTGATGAGAAGGCTAGGAACGCGTTTTAGATGTCACTCGCCGGAATCTGAACCTACCTAGGTTCGCTAAATTGTTAAGGCGTCGGAATGGAACAAGTGTGTCATAATGGATTCAAAAGGTGTTAAAGCGTAACTGAATGCGCCCATACAAAGTACACAAAGTGCAAGCTTTAGTTCCCGGCAATCACGACCGCCAGCGAGTTTTCTGCCGTTAGTTATTAGACCAGCAACAACGTGTTTTGGGTTTCATTGAGCACGTCATCTGTATGGACAAGTTGACATTTACCAGAAACGGCCCGCGAAACACACGTATATTCAGAGGTTAACCCGCACGCTGTTATACAAACCGGGCATCAAACCCGATGGTCGGTTAACGTATGGGCAGGTTTATTTAAGGGTCACGTACTAGGATCAGTGTTTCTGCCTTAGCGACTTACGGACAGCGATACCTTAACTTCATAAACGAACAGTTGGTTGACATTTTAAATGACCTATCATTGGGTAAGTATCGACATGGTTCCAGCATGATGGTGCACCTCCACATGTCGTAAGGTTCGTTCGTGAGCGCTTGACTGAGTTATTTGATGATCGCTGGATCAGTAGACTAGGAACACACACTTGGCCATCTCGCTCACCAGATCTGACCCCATTAGACTTCTTTCTGTGGGGATTTGTGAAAGAAAGGGTTTTACTCGTGTGTGTGATAGTGCTGAAGAATTGCGCCAAAGGATCGACAAACTACGTACGGATTATGTCGAAGACCCCACGATGATGCCCCGCCTGCACGAGGAGACGCAACGCCGAGCCCAAATCTGCTTTGAAACTAATGGAGCACAATTTCAGCCGCATCTCATAAGGCCACGGAGGATTTAGATCGGTAAGCTGTTTCATACCTATTTTTTTATAAATAACTTAGTACTAAACTGAATACATTAGAATAATAAACATACTTAGACGACGGGTAAAAAAGCATGCCTCAATCTTTGTTAAAATCTTTATTTTCATTAGCGTGGAATAAAACCAGTTATTTGGTTTATTTAACCTGTGAATTCGAATTAAAGTGGCTAGGTGGAGACTAGTACAAAATAGTAGTAGTTTAATAGTAAGTTAAGTAGATAAGTTAGGTATTTAGACAAGTGTTGTAAATAATTAGGTATTTGTACGATCGCTAGCTGCGGGCCGCGTGAATTCGGCGTCAATTCCGAATATTGACCCTATTTTCAGCTGATTTCATTTTAAGTTCTAGTGTTTGTTTTATGTTTAAGTATTTTTATGATTTTTTTTTACGAAATCATCGTTTCACTTAGCTGTACTAACACGATGAAGCGTGAATAAAACTAATAGTACGTTTTGAAAAGGTTTTTCTCCTCGGGATCAATTTTTTTCTCACTCATCATCGTTAGTACTATTGTGTGTCTTCGTTTTCGGGAATGTTTCACAAATACCCTGTATTATTTTTGATGAAACTAAATGTCTTCTGTGTACTACGGTTATTATTATCAAAATTATTTAAAGTAGAATTTAATCTTAAGAATAAATTAATGAATTAATGACTATTTATATTGAACAGGTTACAATAGAGATGGACATATTATATAATAAATAAATCGCCTCGGAAATATCATACAAATATTACGGTTTACTTATTTCACTATATATAATTTTATTAAATACAAGTTTAAGCAAACTAATTTACAAATTCAATTAAATTCACTATTGTTTACCAATACCATACCATTACAGCATATTAAGAATTGAACTGCTGAACATGTGTAGGCTTTCCTCATAGATTACTTCATAGGGGAAAAAATTGCCGTGGTTGCCACGTTTGCCAAGCGAGTTAGAAACCGCTGTTTTTTGTTATTTTAAGTTATCCGGATGATGCTGCTGCTCATCTCCTGTTTTATTTTTCTCTGTCCCCTCTAACGATATGAAGTAGTGGATATTCGTACATCACCACTACACGGTACTATTTACGCAAGAATTCATCTTAGTCCATGGTACTATTCTTTACGTTCCTTTAATTCTGTAATGCTGTAAAACATGTGTTAACGAATCCAATTGTAAAGATTTTTTTTAAATTGTTGTAACATAGTCTCACGGTGATGCGTCATTTCATATCATACGATTTACTATTTAAAATATATCTGTTACTTTAAGCGTTCCGAAGTTTCCAATTCGCATGGCATATTATTGTGTTTACGTCACACTAAATAAATAAAATATCATCCTCTTGGCAATTGAGCGCAGTATCCACCTTGATAATGAGTAACGCTGAGGCCCAAATACACTTCAATCTCTCGTCGATTAAAATCAAAATACATACGTGTTGTTTTCCGTGATGAAATCTTCGTGATCAGTAAAGACAAGTTCTCTGCAACACTATACATATGGAAACCAGCAGTATTATTTAGTTATTTATTTAAACTTCATACAGTATGTTATATAGGCGGACTTGCTATTTTACGTTGATATTCTGTACTGGCATGGCCCTTCCCCAGTCGTTTCGACTTTACTACTAGGGTTTTATCACCACTCATCATCAGGTGAGATTGTAATCACGCACTGTCTTAAAAGTAAAAAATATTTCTAACTTCAAAAGTCTCAGGTGATCAAACCGGTACAAATAAACTCTTTTTTTCAAGTACACTTTACGTATTGGAATCGTAAGTCGAAATAACAAGTGACGTTCAATTTTGCAAGAAAGTATTTGATAAAAAGTTACTTGTGACTGTATGTTAAAACAGTGAAAAAGTTTTTGTTGTTAGTTATTGGCTTCTCAATTTATAAGTAACTTTAATTTCAATTTATTTTTTAAGGTACAGGTTTACATCGTTGGCACCGAACGGATTCAAATGGATTTTAATTATTAGTAAATGTCATGTTCCAATGGTTGAATTGGGCAGATTGTGAGCGGCTTGGGCATTTCGTGATACGTCACCATTTCATGATTTGGCCGGAAAATATATTAATAAGTATACTTATTAAAAATTAGAAAACACCTATCTAGAAATATCAGTCACAGTAGTTAAAGGTGCGGTTAGATTTTCTCTCCGCTCACCGTTTAGTGAAAATTTAAAAAGGATGCCTATTAACTTTTTAAGTATTAAAACTAAAGTTTTAGTTTCTAATACTCCTTTTATAGACTACCTACACAAAGTAAAAGAATGGTCACTAACGTAGAGCATCAACACACTTTGAATTGGGAAGAAGTAATCAACTACTCGTATATCTAATCAATGTCGCAATTTGTCTGGCATATTTCATCCATTTTGATATTATCATGATGTATTTACTTAACAGTTCTTGAATCTTGAATATTTTGTAATTCAAAAGTCTTTTAGGAAAATATTAATTTTATTTTAATAATTTCGAGTGTCATTTCTAGCACCTTCATCCCCGCTACCAAAATTTGGGCTGCTGTGATGCCGTATTATAATTTAAACTTTACTAAAAAACAAGGCCTTTTGTTGTGGTTGTTTTGGCCCTTTGTTTGTCTCTATTATACAATATGTGTCGCCTTTAACTTGAGTGGTTATTCTTCGGCGCCGTAGTCGACGTGCACGCACTATTCTTTATTCTTTCCTGATGTCTTCTCATTGTCCTTCCTTTTTAATTCTGCACTCTCAGTACTTTTGTTTTCACCATGATAGAGTTCTTTGTTCTACAGGTATAACCTTCAGTGCTCTTCAGACTTTTTGTCCAATTCTTCTTGGAATGCTCTTCGATTCGAAATGAGAATGGCCCAAAATTGTTTCTTAAGTCCAAAGTTCGGGAACTTCTTGTAAATATAATGGAAGAATCATCTAGTCGCCATTATTTTTTTCATTTATATTTATGATTATGTTTTGACAGAGAGAAAATCAAAATCATCGGTATAAAAATATGTACATGTCCTGTTTATTTTACATCTTTTTGCACTTACCTCTTTTTATCTATACTACTATTGCTTTCATCTGAATAGTAAAAACTTTATAGGCATACATTCCGCCTATATTAATTATTGTGTATAGAAAATAAAATAAATGGAATAATAAAAAATCATGACAATAATAACGTCACGTCATGGATAGTGTTGGGTAGGACACGACATAAAGTAGAGTTTGTAAGAGTAGCCTCTTTTTTGTACTGAGCCAGTACAATGTCCCACTTCAAATGAGGTGAGGCTAACGAGGTTTGGTATTTGGGCGAGGCGTGCTGAAGCCCGACGAAACGTTTGAAGTTACGAGTATAAATATGACATTTGACGTTATTGCCGTACAGTTACAATCTGTACTCTGATTGAAGACATTGACTATGAAACGATACATACACGATTATATTGTTTGTAATTAGGTAAATAAAAAGATAAAGAAATATATTTTAAAGAATATAATAAAAAAGCTTGCAAATAAAATTATAAATTAGAATGTAAAAATAATATTTGCGCGACTTTGTTGCCACTAAGCCGGTTCCTTCTCTCCGTAAGGACCTGGCCTGCTTTACTGAAAGTGCGCTCGGAAGGCACTGAAGTGGCAACAATACAAAGCCGTTTTAAAAATAACTTATAAAGCCTAGGATAGGCTTCCTTTTTAACGAACCACCATTTGGCAGGATCTTGGGACCTTGGCAGTAGGGGTTCCTCGAGGTATTTATCAACTTCGATAATACCCCCTGCAGTCGGATTAATATTTTTTATTATCACACTTGCTCATCAAACTCATTCCATATGCTATGTTTACGCTTACGGGATGGCGACGAAGATGGCGGCTCTGATGTACATGTGCTTTGTATTTGAATTCGCCCGGCCATGGCTTTGATATTTGTACATGCTTTACTGTAAGCGTACTCATTCTCAAACACATATTTTTTGAATCTTGGATCTAATATAGTGCTTTCAGCAAAAATATTATTCTCCTCAATGCACGAAAACCTTGTGCTAATTTCATTTAAAAGCACTTGGGTCATTCGTAAAACACAGTCCGGATGTGGCGTAGATAAAAATTTTTGGCATTTCTTTTTGAGGGCGTTTGATATAAGTATAACCTGAAATTTATAAAACACCACATACATGAAAAAAGAATGTTAAAATTGAAAATACAAAATAAATGCGTTATCTATTACTTCACCTCTGATATTGTAACATTCTTTTCTGAACTCATCTCCTCAGTTACATCTTTGAAAAATGAAAGAATTTCTATTGCCGAATCCAAAACCTCAATGTCTTCAGAAGTCATATTTATAGTATCGGGATAATCGATAGCAATTGTGGACATAACACTGTTTTTAATTTTTAACACCCTTTCGAACATATCATACGTGGAGTTCCAGCGTGTGGAAACGTCTTGTTTTATCTTCAATAGGGGTTCATCTAGCTTCTTTTGCATATTTTTTAATCTTTCAGATGCAAGTGGACTTCTACGAAATAATTCGACAATTTGTTTAATTTTGTAGTAATATCTTTTATTTATTTTAATGCAGATTGGACTATAAGGTTAAGAGTATGAGCGAAACAAGGTATGTGCTTCCAATTATTAAGTCTTATAGCAGCTTTGATATTATAAGCGTTATCACTGATTGCTGCTACAATTTTGTCAGTAATTTCCCAATTATCTGTAATTCTTTTTAGTTCTAGTGCTAGGTTTTCTGAAGTATGTCTATCTGGAAACTGTATACATTCCAACAAAAAAGATTTTAATTCTGCTTGCTGATTGAAAAAATGTATTGTCACGGCTAAGTAATTATCATTGGGGGCTGATGTCCACCCATCGGTTGTAATGCACACATGTTCTGCTTGACAGAGTTCTGACTTAACCTTTTCTTTTGTTTGATTATAGACATTAGTCATCAATGCATTAGATAACGTCTTACGACTAGGTAACTGGTAGGCTGGATTTAATTCTTTAATAAAATCTTTGAGTTCAGGGGATTCAATGAGATGGAAGGCTAAGTAATTTTTTGTGAATAATTTTACCAGCATTTTGTTTAGATGTTCAGTTTTTTTAGCAGAAAGCGGTTTATAAAAGTACTGTGTTAGTTTCGTGTTAGTGGCTGGAGCTTTTTTATATAGGTTGGTGTTTTTAGTGGTGGCTGGTAAGAAATCAGATGTTTCAGGCATGACATAAGTTGAAGCAGTAGATGTGGAAGCAGTAGGCATCTCAAGTTCTGGTGCCTTCGAATCAGTGGAATGTGTTGTCAAATTATGGATTTCTGTTGCAGAAGAAGCTATATTTTCAATCGGACATTCACGTATAGCGACAAACACTTGTGGATGCTTAATTTTTGTGTGTCTGATTAGGTTGTAAGCACCACCGCCTTTGTATGAAAATTCTTTCTGACAAAAATTGCATTTGGCTTTATCATTTTTGAGGTCTTTAAAAAACTGCCAAGCTTTTGAGGATTTTCTATCACCATCACCAGACATACTGCGCATGCAAAAAGCAAACAGAAAAAATGTCAAATAAAGTAAACATCTGAAAACCGTTATTAGCAGGGGATATTTTATTTATGTAGTCTGGTAACCCTTAAATAGGGTATCTATTTTGATTTGACATACCTACACAAATTATAAAGTTGTATGTACAAGACATAAACTTTGTTTGTTGACATAAACCCTGCCGCTGCCGCTCGCACCGCTGAGGTGTCTTGGCCAACGGACAATCGACATTCGCTAAAATGTCTTTTACTTAAATACTTTACTAACACCTATAACTGTACAAAGTTTATAGGTATCTTTTATTCAAATGTAGTCATAAACAAAAGTATCAACTCAGACGAATAAACATATTAAAACCATAACAAAATTAAAACACTAACACAAAGTAGCCATACAAGCAAAATAAATAAGAATTGAAAGTCATTCATAAATCATGAATTAATACAAAGACTTACATACCTGAATATATACCTAAATAAAAATATCTATTCACTTAAACTACACAAACGAAGTATCAAATTAAAAACTTTTGCACTGGTCACTGACTCAAGTACGTTACGATATTCAAAACACATATAAATGGAAAGATTTCGTTGCAATTTGCGCCTCACAGTATTTATTAATATCAATGTCAGCAACATATTTCCCTCTCGCTCGAGATTCGAAACGCTGTCACGTAATGTTCATTTTAGAATGACGTACTATTCTAATTTGTAGCATGCATTTCGCTCCCTCTCTTTCCTCATAGTTTTACGCAGACGGAGAGTGAGTAAGGCGACTTCGCGACTGCCGCGACATAAAATTTGAAGTAGTACATTAAAAAATGCCGAGCCGCTCTTACATTTTGACGTCATGTCCGGGACAAATGTAACGCCTCTTGTATGTCCTACTCAACACTAGTCATGGAACGCACCAAGGTTTTTTGGAATTTAACGCGCAAATTATTTTGGAACGACTTTGGAAATACCATTTTAGACGTAAATCCAAATTAGGAGGGATCCGAATTCGGAGCACATTTTTGCAACGTCAAGTGCGACGCGACGTAAAAAATGATACGGCAAAAAGTAAAGGCACGGTTGCAGACGTCAGCTAAATTAATTACGTTTTGAGTTTGCTTTTCTCTCTTTACTAAATGTCTCGTTAAATTTTTTAAATAAAGTAAATTTTGTTACTTTTTTTGTTTTGCGTTTTTAATAATTTCTAACAGGTTAGATATTGTTAGAGTTGGATTATGGTTGTAAGATTTTTGGGTAATTCTTCGTAAATTGAAATGTTCTAAACTAATAGTTGTTTATTCTAATATTTATTATGACCGTTTTTATAACCATTCACTTGTCTACTCCTGAACATAGGCTTCCACAAGGAATGCCAGAGAGACTGTTCCGAGCACCCTACATCCATCGACTTACTGCATGTCTGACCAAGTCATCATTCCATCTGGTGGGGGGCTGCCTTACAATCCAAAAAAGAGACTGCTACTTTAAAATCTTTCTTCTCCATCAATTTTCAGTACGTGGAGCTATTACTAATTGTATGGTCAGCCCAATGCTACTTCACCTTGCCGATATGTCTAGGAATTGCAGAGTCTCTTTCAGATACCTCTTTTAGACGCGAAACACGTGTAATATTATCGGCAGCGACGAGTCTTTATTATACTCGGGCCACACTAACAAGAAATACCGTTGATTATCGCGTTGATGGACGTTGAGTGTAGGTGTGGCCATGATTTAACGCGTTTATTTGACAACAGCATTAACAAGGCCGTTTGCCGTTTAGCGATAACTCGAGTGGCGGTACATCAAAGAGATTAACCCACGAAGTAACGCGTTGAAGAGGCCACACTACGTTTATCTCATTGTTCACGGTGAGCGCAATGGGGTAGCACGTACGGCTATGATGGAGTGGAATAATGAAAAAGTTATTACGTTTCTTAAGATTATGCCAACAGAGCCGTGTTTGGGGGATCCGAAACTCAAAAGTTTTAAGAATTGTACGTCGTAAAATTATGATTGCAATAATTACCTTTTAAAACAACTATCTAGGAAATTAAAAAGAAGGAGGAAAGCCTGCTCAATCTGTGCATACGCTATATTTTTGGCCTGCGCAAGTTTGATCATATATCACAATTTCGCTCAAGACTTAAGTGGCTCGACATCCGTTTTCGCCGGAACACACACCTTCTAATCGCTTTGTATGGTATTCTTCACAATCCTTGTTCCACAGCTTATCTGAAAGAGCATTTTTCATACTTAAGCTTATCCCGTTCGATGACCAACAAAACTCTAACTATCCCGTTGCATAAATCTGCATACTACTCAGATTCCTTTACGGTATCGTCAATTACACTTTGGAATAACCTTCCACGAGATATAAAAGATGCTCTCTCAATAAATACATTTAGACGTAAGGTTGAGGCACTTTATTTAAAATTACTTGATTAATTTTTTATTGGTTTATATAATATTATATTTTCCTATACTAGTTTGTATGTATTTTATTAGTATAGTATGTATTTTTTGTTTATATGTATATATACATTTATATATATATGTATATATGTGTGTGTATGAAGTGTAAATATGTATAAAGTAACATATTTGTATTATATTATATTATATTATTGAATAATATGTGAAAATAAGTTAGTTTTTTTCCTCTGTTGAGGCACTACCCATAACTCTCACCACACTACCAAAGGTTAGCTGTCATAGAATGCCTTTTTGGCATTCAGTTCGCCTTTGTACCAAATGTTTGTTTGTTTGAGTGCAATAAAGAATTTTCTATCTATCTATCTACCTATTTAGGGTTATTATACAAATAATAAAAATTTACAGTCATCAAGTATAGCGTATAAGCGTCAATGTCCTACTTGCTCGAAATTCAAGGAACATTAAATTAACGCCAACTTTAATGCCGTTCAATGACATTGAAATTGAAATGACGTTGATCGTTCAAGTGTAGCCACCCACTTTATCGCGTTAAAATTGAAGCAATAATTGTTGCGTTTATGGGCATTGACGTTTCCTGTTATTGTGTCCCCAGTATAAGAATAGTGGTGTTGGGAGTAGTAGTAATTGTGATAGTGCATGCTATTGAGGGAAAGAGAGAGGTGCCCATCAACCTTGTTGAGACAGATCATTTTCATACTAAAAGGTAATATTACATTATATTAAATAGTTAATAGTAAATATAACAACATGTAACCTAAGTTTTTAATATTGAGGGTTTCCTGGTAAAACCAGTTATCTGAAATTATATGAAAATGAGTTAAATATACACCTCAGACTCAGATTTTTTTCTCGATTTTCTAGTAAAACTGACTATTTGATATGAACATTACTTACGGAGATATTTAGTGACAATACCGTGTGTTTTAATACTTTATAGGTTCGAGGTATTTTATTTATTACTATAAAAACAACTTATGTAACTGTACACATAAGTTCCAAAAAGCTTACTTGATGAAACTGTTATGGACTTATAATTGTTATTACCAGAAACCGATCACAAAATATTATTTACCATTCTTTAGCAGGAAAAACCGAATATGTGCTTCTAGCCGTTATGCTTATTTGTTTTCCTTTAGGTAAGTGTTGATAACTGCTTTTAGATGAGACCTATTACATAAAAAACATCGAAAATTTTTCGTAATTAGTACGTCTATAAGAATATAAATACCAAAATTGAATATTAACAATAAAGGAGGAACATATATCACAGAAATAATTAGAGTAGTTGCTTCAATTTATGGGATAGAGCAAATTAAAGAGATTAGGATATAGCAGTTTGCTTGAAATGATTTGATGGAGAAGGAGAAACTCTTTATGATGAACTCTTTCTTCCAGTACCATACACACAGAAAGTGGACCTGGTCTAAACCGATCCTATACCTATACCTATCCCGACTCTTCGACGAAAAATTTGATTGATTTTATAATGACGACCAGATGC